CCCGGCGGCGCGCACAGAGGGGTAGGGGGGACGGGGGGGACAGCCCCTTAGAGTCTGTTGCTCCCACCGTACTTCGGGACCGCATCCCAAACGTAGTCTCGAGCACCCAGAAAAACATCGAAACAGTGTCGAACGAGTATCGCCTCCCAGGGCCCGACACGTGTTAACACCTTCAAATTTCGGTACTCCCTTCGTGAGCAGGAGGAGGAGGAGGAGGAGGAGGAGGAGGAAAGGGAGGAGGAGGAGGGGGAGGAGGAGGAGGAGCGATCGTGCTCGAAATCACTTCTGGTGATTAGTGCTAAAGCAGGCTGGTGCAGCAGGACTCTTGGGAGGCTGCCTCTCAGAAGGCGCCCGGCCCTGCATCCGTAGACAAGAGGCCCGCGCCTCCTAGAGGAGCAGGGGGGGCCTCTGAGAGGCCTCCCCCCCATCCCTCCACCGCCCTCTGCGCGTGGCCTCGAGATCCTGGCGCCCCCATCTTTTCGAGCTGGGCGTTTCCGACCAGTTTCGGGCCCGGGACCCTCATGGATCGACCTGGCTCGAGCAGCGGCGTGGAAAGATGGTGTCCAGGGCTCCGGCCGTGACGTTCTATGATGCGGCAAATCTTTCGCAACATCGGATCTCAAGGCAGGAGGCGGTGAAGCCTACCCCTCAAGCAGGAGATCGACTGCCAAATGGACTTACCCAAACTATGTTTTTGTTCGTCGAAGCCACTGGTATATATATATAGATAGATATATATATATATATATATATATCTATAGATACGTGTATATATACATGTGTGTAGAATGTTCGTAGGCATGCGAGCTTTATATTTGTTTGGCAGATTCGACGAACAAAATAATGCTGGTGTAAATGAATTCTGTAGTCGATATCCTAATGCTGGAGATCTGAGGGCAGGAGGCGGCCACGCCTGCACCGACAACGCCTTCGGACCGGGCCAGCCCCAGGGCCGCTGGATCGCGTGCACGGGAGGTGAGGCAACATCTGCGAGGTCTTCACAAGAACGATCAAGGACCAAAGGGCCCGATCGAATTTCCAATGGGGCAGATTAGGCCGGGGAATAAGGTGCATGAGGCGGCAACTTCTGGGAGGTCCACGTGAGGAGGCTGCTGGATCGCGTGCGGGTGATGTGCGGGAACTTCTGGGAGGTCTTCGCAAGAGCGATGCAAAACAAACTTAGGTCAGCTAACTTCGCGCACCGAGCCCCGCGATGCGCGACGTGCGGTTATCTTCGTGCCCTTGCGCCACTTCCTTGGAAAAGGGCAGCCGCTCTGATCTAGATCGCGACGCGAAACGCTGATGTCTTCGCGCCCCTGGGGGTGACCTAGGCTCATGGGCCCGATGGAGGTCTCACGGGGCCGGATGAGGCCGGGGCCTAGACTGAATTAGCCAGAATTATAATTTGCTGCCGGATTAGATCGGAAGTTTTGCGACCGCTGGTGTACCAGCGCCGATGCTGGAATGATCCTCGCAGGAATTAGAAGAAGAACAAAACACATAAAACATAAACTTTTGGAGCTCCGGGCGGATTTCTTGAATCCGCGCTGGACCCCCCTCCCTGGCGCGCGGAGCGCGCCAGGGGCGGCGCCAGAGGCGCCGCTGGGAGGCCCTGGCGCGGATCCAAGAAATCCGCCCGGAGCGCCAACAGTTTATGTTTATTCGAAGAGTTGCATCCCGCTGCGCGCATGCCCTCGTGCCCCCAGCACGGGATCAGAAGGCGCCTGGAAACGCAGGCATCGACATGCTTCCGGGACCGGCGTGCCTTGGACCTGGTCGTTCTCCGCACCGGGTGCGTGCCGTCCTGGCTCGGCCTGCAGTGCAGTGCGCTTCTTCGCCATCCCTGGGCCCCGAGGCGTGGCCCGCCCAGCTGCTGTGCCTGTGCACGGGTCAGGGGGCCACATGCGAACCCCACCCCTGCCCCCCACGATTGCTGAGGGGGGAGGGTCGGGGTGGCTTCGCTCGGGAGCTCCCGAGCGAAGTGAACCCCACCCTCCCCCTCAGAGATCGTGGGGGGCAGGGGTGGGGTCCGCATGTGGCCCCCTATGGGTGGCGCCGAGCCCGACGGAAGCGCGAGCACGGACACGAGTGAAAATCCTGCCCCCGAAGGGGAAAGGAAACCGCCCAGATGAGGCAGGCGCAGAAGCCCACTGTCGTCACTATCCGCGATGACGCCCGGGACAGGCCCTGTCCCCCACCCCCTCCCCACCACCTGGTCAGACTCGCGACGGCGCCGTCCAGAAATCTGCCGTCCGTAAAAACAGTCCAGACGGCGCCAGCCCGAATCGGAACTCATCGGCCCCCTCCCCAGCCCCCCACCCTGTCACGCCCATTACCGCCAGGGATTTTCAAGGACGGACTCTGGATGAGGTCGGAGGATGGCACCGCATCGCCGATGCATCGGCGATGCGTCCCCTACCCCCCCCCCCTGTCACGCCCATACTACCGCAAGGGACTACCAAGACGGACTCTACAGATGCAGTCGCAGGATGGCACCGCATCGCCGATGCATCGGCGATGCGTCCGGCGGCGTCGGGGCAGGGAGCATCGGGCTCCAGATCGCGCCGCATCGCCAAGACATCGGCGATGAGGCGCGACCCTTCGGCCCTGTCAGCTCCGACCCCGTCTGGGCGGCCTCGAGCAAGAAACTGCGTACCGAGCAGACTGTCTACGACACGAAGGCCCTACGCCGCCCAAACCAGGTGGCGGACCAACAAAATGATGAAGATTCATGCCCTAGTGCTGTCGGGGAAATCTCGCTTCAACCACCACAGACCGTTCTCCGCATACCGTTTCTCCCAGAAGTTCATCCTCGTTCTCCCTCATCCCTCCACTTGGGGAAAACGAGGGTCGAGACGGTCAGCCTTCTGGCTTCTGGACCCTCGGAAGCCGAATGTGGACCCAAACTCTCGACTGAAACGACTCACCGTGAAAAGCTGGTCCCAGTCAAGGAGTCGAGAGGTCCAAGGGCTCACATCACGAAAGAGGTCGAACGTAACTTCCGGGAGGGCGGGCGGGTGGATTCGTGGTGGGGGCGCAATTCTCCCGGCTGTCGGCTCCTGTGCATCACCACTGCAATGCAGCAAGGCCTAGGCAGAGGCTTATGTATCTGCCACGCCGGAGTCCCCAGAGGCGGGGTCAGAGCTCCAATGGAGTAGTATTTCAGATCGAGCAGCCAAACCAAGACGTTAGCTTGGAAACGCACACGCACACACACACACAAACACACACACACGTGCGCATGTGGTTTCTGGCATCCGAGGTCCCTCCGTCCATTTCCTGGCGACTGCTTTTAAGCCTCATGTTGTTCTTTTGACGGTCCCAGGGCCCGAAAACAGCCCTCAGAGGCCAAGCAACGTCAACATGCGATGTACTTAAAACCTGAATCGGAATTTCTTGTCATTAAACTGATGCCTTTGCCTCCTCATCCACACACTCCCACATGTCCTTCACTCAAACTCAGACTCACTAACACCTAGACCACCTCACACTGAGGCCAGTACTGGGAACCACGGACCAGTCAGACTCACTCGCACTCAGGCCCGCTCGTACCCAAATCTGCTTTTACTCAAACTCGTTCACACTCAGACTCACTAATAACATGTCCATTCGGACTCAAATCCAATCATTTTCAAGCTAATGTATACACAGGCTCATATGCGGACCCACGCAAACACAAATTTGCTCATGTAGGCTCTGGAGGATTGTTCGGACGCCGCAGCCATCTCAGAGCGTTCGCGGCAGCTCTGGAGGTGGCTCCGAAGGCGGCTATGTAGATCCAGCGGCTCTGGAGAATAAGTCGGACGCCGCGGTCATCTCAGAACATTCCCGAACGCTCTGAGAGAATTCCGGAACGCTCTGGAACGAATGTATCCTCGGCCTAGCCCCGTTCGAGAAGGGCTGAAAACGTGCGACACCACCTGGTCTTAACAAATTGCGATGCCTGGACTCATGGTGAACAGTGGGCATAGCCAATCCTCGAGAGGTCTGGGTTGATACGACTCCCGGCGTGCATCCTGGCCAGAATCTCGGAGCGAGTCGAGCCGTTGCGATGAGGCCTGACAAAAAGGCCCAACGGGCTAAAAACCCTTGACCCTCGACACACGAATTTCAAAAGAACGAATCAAACAACTGCACACACACAAGGACCCGTCGGTCGGAAGAAGTGGGTAGAAACATGAAGTACGAGAAAGTTGGGAGTAACTTGGGTTTCCGCCCGCCCCCTGAAGAGGAGGGAAGATGGAAAACAGCTCGACCCTTGAAGTAGGAAGGCGGCTAAAGTAGACTGGGATCTGGGCATCCACAAGAATCTTCTTTCAACTTCCGCTGGGACCTCTTGGAGCGGCGATGCCGCGCGGAGCGCGGCGGGAGAGGCATCGGAGGCGCCGCCACGGGGTGCCAGCGCAGATCCAGGAAATCCGCGCGGACGCCCGACCAACAATGTTCATGCAAGTGTTCCGTCTACGACATGGTCGCGTAGCCTCGTCTCTATCAGGGGGTCATCGCGACCGACACTGTGCCTGAATCTCTGCCCAGGTGTGACCGAAAACTTGCACCCGAAAAAAACCAACTGCACCCGGGTGTGACCGAAATGTTTAGCTCGAAGCCAGAACGATCTTCAACATCGGTTACAGTCTCGGTCACACGACGTTGTCGGTCACAACTTCGGGCACGTTTCTTGCCACCGATTTCTTTGGTCGCATACTTATTCTGCTGATTGAGCCGAGGTGCCATGAGACATGGCGTCGACTCTTAAAGGTCACGACCCATTCCCTAAGACCAACTTTTCTTCCTGAGCAATTCTGTTGGCGGCCTGGGGGTCGGAACGGGGCACCAAGAAGCAAACGATTGGAAGAAACTGCCGTGCTTGCTGCGCTCTGTCCTCGTCCGACTCAACTCCCAGAACCTCGGCTGCGACTGAGAACAAGAAAATTGAAACAACCGCCGCGGGGCCGCGATCGGCCCGTGGCCCCTGCTGGGCCCTCAGGACGCCGCGGCCCTCAGGGTGCCACTGGTGTGGCCGCCAGCGCGCCCCCGAGTACCACGTCGCGGAGCTGCTCGTACGTCACCTCGGAGCGGGTCACGGAAGCGCAGGCTGCAGGAGAGGTAGGCGTGCTGGGCGAGACGCTGAGATCCTGGCGACGCAATTGCTTCACGCCCAACGAGTTCGCCCTATTTCGGGGCCCGGGGCACCCGCGGATCGATCCTCAAGATTGGGTTCAGGGCTCCAGTCGTGACTTCTGGCATGGTGTCATTCCAGAACCCCCTTTGGTTGAGACCTCGTTTTGCATACAATGCCATGGTGTCCATCCTTCCTCCTCCCCCCTCCTGCCTCCGACATCCCCCCGGCATCCTGTGCGCTTCCACAGGGGCTGCGAACTGTCACGATGTTTCTTGGCTCCTGGGAGGCATGAAGGAGGTAAGGGCAACGACAGTCATTTAAGACCTCGCGGCTCCCTCGGTGGCTGCGAACTGCCAAACTGTCGCTGCTTTCGTTGGCTCCTGGGATGCACGGCGCCACGGGGGGGCCAGGGCCGCCCTGCGGGACCAGGGATGACGAACGTACGAACGACCACCAGTGCGGACAATATTCCAGGCCTGCTTGAGGCCGGGCAATCGAGGCCGAGGCCTCCAGATGCTGTGGTGCATCTTTGGCTGTGCTTGATCGGTGGCGCCCTGGGTCCACGTCGCAGTCGCGCTGCAGCAGGGTTGCTGCGTTGGCGAAAATTCTGCACCGAGGCCGCGGGAAGGACAGGGGGGGGGAGGGCCGCGGGCAATCAGAAAGCCCTCAGGGCGTGAAGCGCTCCAGGCTGCGCTGGAGCAGGCCCAAATCCTTGTAGCTACCAGTGCGTCCCACTATAGCGTCGAGCTGCTACCAGAAGGAAAGCTGCCTGTGGAACGGAGCCCCCCTCTGGCCCCCAGAGCGCCTGTGTGCACGAGGAGAGCTAAAGGAACAACAGTGGATGAACCCAGAGAGCAGCGGGCCCCTCCCGAACCTAAACTGTTCCTTACCTCAGTGTCTTGACGGTATGCTCGGACATGCAAGGCAACGGTCAAGGTTGGCGGCGCGCAAAGAGGGGTAGAGGGAGGGGAGGGGAGCTTCTTGGAAGGAGGCTGCTTCTTAGAAGGCGCTGGCCTCGCATCTATAGGGAAGGGCCGCGCCTTCTCATGAGCAGGGGTGCTTCTAAGAAGCACCACAACCCTTCCCCCCAAGCCCCCTCTTGGCAAGGAAGTGGCCGACAAGGAGTGGCAAGCAGGAAGAGCAGAAAGGGCAGGCAGGAAGGGCGATTCCAGAAAGGTCGACTACACGCAAGAGTGACCCTGGGTAAGAGTGACCTCTCGTGCGCGGCTTTTTGGGGGGGCCTGGGCGTTTTTTGTTTCCAACTTCCATTCAGCAACACATGCTTCAAGAATTTCTGGCTCCCGTTTTTTTTGTCGTTCCAAGGTCTCCGCGGCGATGGCTTGCTGATCGTTGCCATCGTCAATCCAAAGGGACGCTTGTTTGTTTTGTAAGTTCCAACTTCGTTTATTCACCTTTCCCAGGTATGCCTCGCAACGTGCTGTGTTTCATCCGGTATTGACAGGCAACTCACGATAAGAGCTCGACACGCTCTCTTCAAAAGGCTTCTCTGAGCTCTCATCGAGCGTTGCCTGTCAATCGCTGTCCGATCCCGTGCGCGTCAGAGCCGGAGACACCGTCGGTGTCATAACTGCGGTGTCGGCGTCGTAACGGCGGCCTCAGCGGCGGCGGCGACATCCTCAATGTTTCCGCTTCCCCTGGGCCAAGGGTCGACGTTGCCTGGTTGAGACCGTTTGCAATACGTTTCCAATGCGTTTTCAACGCGTTTCCAACCTCCCATTCCGGTGGGTCGGACAGCGACTGACATGTAACGCACGACAAGAGCTCGACGCTCTCTCCAAACAGCTTCTCTGTTGCACCTCCTGCCCGCTGCGGCCGCCACCTTCCTCCTATGCTGTCTGGTGCTACTACTGTCTGTTGCTACTGCCTGCTGCTACTAGTCGCTGCTGCTGATGCACGCTGCGCCGCCCGCCCAGTATTCATTATCATCGGCACTCTCGTTTTGTGTCGCTTGCTCACCAACCCCTTGTTTAAATAGTTTCCAAGGGGCCGTTTCCTTACCGCTTCAGGCTTGCGCCGACTCGTTTAAAAACAGTTTTCAACTGATCGCGCGGAAACGTTTCTTGATAGTTTCCAGGGTCCGTGTTTTAATCGTTTCCAGGTGCCCGCTCTTGGCTCACAAGACACCAAAGCTGGAAACTATTTAAACAACGCCTAAGGCACTTCCAAGACACACTAAGATGAGGCAAGGGCCTTGGAGGGCCATGTTGGCATTTTTCAAAGGAGGTTGGCCAGCGAAAGTCGCAAAGGATGGGTCGAAGGGAAAGGACGCAAGGGTAACCTTGGAAAATTGCTCATCCTCACTGTGCGGGTTGACTGTGCTCCTGGAGTGTCTCTCGACTCCTTTTGGCCTCGCTGGCCTCGAGGATCGACGGGAGGGAGGCTCGGGGCAGCCCTCACCAACGCAACATTCTTTCACTCCGGCGGCTCTCGCTCCGCCTCCCGAGCACCTGGGCGGAGCTCCGGAGGCTTCGCCCTGCGGCTGCCGATCGGAGCCCGCGTGGGCGCCCCGTGCGCCGGCTGGGCCCGCGGAGGCTTGGCGGCCCGCGGGAGACTCGTGGGCGCCCCCACGCTCTGCCCCGGCCTGCGGAGGCCTCGGCCCGCAGCAGCCCGCGGGGCGACCCCCCCCCGTGGAAGCGCCCCGTCCGCCGGCAGGGGCCGTCGCCCGGTGGCCGCCCCATGGGCCTCCACGCGGGGTCCGCCGTCAGATCGGGTGCTGCTAGAAGTACCCCTGGCCCAAGGTGCGCCCAGCATCCTCAGGGTGGCCCGGACGGCCTCAAGGGCACCCCTCGCGAGGGCCAGGGGGCCCCAGGGGCTCCAGAATGGAGCGGAAAGCTGGGGGCACCTTGGGCCAGGGGCACTTCTAGCAACACCCGATTAGAGGCCTCCTAGATGGGGTCCGAGCAGATGGCGTCGGAGGATCTCACCGCATCGCCAATACATCGGCGATGCGCTGGCGGCATCGGCGACGCATCAGCGACGTCGGCGTGGAGAAAATTGGGCCCAACATCGAGCCGCATCGCCGATGCATCGGCGATGCGGCACGATCCTCCGACCCCATCTACTCGGACCCCCATCTAGGTGGCCCAGAGCCGTGGACCCCTTCTGCTTCGGAATAGAATATAAGACTCACCATCCCTGCCAAGGCCGGGAGTACTTGGTCTGTTCGTCATGGAAACGCTCATCATGACTCTGCAAGACGGCTCATCTGAATTGCCAACTACGTACGACAATCCCTAACCAACCAGTATCGAACCCCCTGGCACTTCTGTCAAATAATCCGCTATCGTGGCGCAAGACACTGAACGGTCGTCCGCCCCCTCCGCCTCCCCCCTCCCTCCAAAGACGACGAAGTCGCCACCAGGCGCCGCCGCCGACGACGACGACGACGACGACCACGGCAGCGCTGCCGACGACGACGACGACGACGCCGACGTCCCTCCTCATGGAACGCCCGACGGCGCACTCCGCGCGGCGCGCGGGACTGGCGTCGCCTTCGAGCCGTCGCCGGCGGCCATCACCTCGGTTGGGGGGCGGGCCGCCGCTGGCGGCGCTCGCCTCGTGTCCAGAACCAGTGCGGTCAGGACAGGACCAACAGTCACGCCGGGAAGGTTTTCGCTGCTTTTGGCCACTGGGGGTCCTCGCCGGGCCCTGGGACCGTCAAAAAACGGCTCAGAATGAAGAGCTCATCCCGGGGGCTGGGTCGGGACCCCTGTGAGTCGACACTGTGAACAATTCGTTGCGTTGGGGGTCTAGCTCGTCCCAGGGGCTGGGTCGGGACCCCTGGGAGCCGACACTGTGAACAATTCGTTGCGTTGGGGGTCCAGAATACCACGTCTCCGACGATACGTTTGGAAACTTCAGTCGAGACCTCGCGGCTCCCTGGAGGGACTGCGAAGTGCGAAGTGCGAACTGTCGCCACTTTCGTGGGCTCCTGGGAGGTCCAGCGGAGTGGAGGTCAACGCAGACCCAGCAAAGACCTCGCGGCTCCCTGGGGGGCTGCGAAATGTGGAACTGTCGCCACATTCGTGGGCTACCGGAAGGTCCAGCGGAGTGTAGGTCAATGCAGAACCAGCCAAGACCTCGAGGCTCCCTGGGGGGCTGCGAAATGTGGAACTCTCGCAACATCTGTGGGCTCCCAGAAGGTCCAGCTCCTGGGAGGGCCAGCGGAGTGGAGGTCTACGCATAACCATCTGAGACCTCGCGGCTCCCTGGGGGACTGTGACTTTCGCAACTGTCGCCGCTTTCGTGGGCTCCTGGGAGGACCAGCGGAGTGGGGGTCTACGCATAACCATCTGAGACCTCGCGACTCGCTGAGGGGGCCAAGAAGTGCGCTACTGTAGGTGGGCTTCTGGGAGGTTCAGCGGAGTGGAGGTCCACGCAGATCCATCTGAGACCTCGCGGCTCCCTGGGCGGCTGCGAAGTGTGGACCTGTCGCCACTTTCGTAGGCTCCAGGGAGGTCCAACGGAGCGGAGGCCTGCACATATCCGACATATCCATCCGAGACATCGCGGCTCCCTCGGGGGCTGCGACGTGCGCAACTGTCGACACCTTCGTGGGCCCCAGCGAGGCACGGCGGAATGCAGGGCAGCGCAGGTCGTGCATATCTGGCAATGTGTTGTGTTGAGTCGAGCGGCCATACAAATAGTACTTCAGGTACGTCCCAGGTATGTTTGTTTCTAAACGCGATATTTGGAGAAGAAGGAGGAAAACTGAGCCAATCAGTCATGCCATACTCCGTAGCGCGCGGGCAACACAAACTGACAAGACACACTCGCTGGAGCCTCCGCTTTGCAATTGCGGCGGCGGTGCAGGCAAGATAAGATATGGTTGCATTTGCAACCGGCTATCTTGGGGGAGCGGGAAGAGGGACGGGGAGGAGGAGGAGGAAGAGCGTGCTTCCTTGCTCACGGCTGTCGGACAAAAATGGAAGATGAAGGCAGGAGCAGGAGGAAGGGGAGGAAGAAGACAAGGAATAACATACACAAACTATCCCAGTGCGACCCTACCTAGGAGTTGGAGCCCCTAGGAAAGCAGCATTAGTAGTAACAGTAAAGCTAAGCTAAAGCTAAGCTGCAGCTAAGCTACAGCTAAGCTAAAGCTAAACTAAAGCTAAGATAAAGCTAAGCTAAAGCTAAGCTAAAACTAACATACAGCTAAGCTAAGCTAAGCTAAAGCTAAGCTAACGCTAAGCTAAAGCTAAGCTACAGCTAAGCTAACTATAAGCTACAGCTAAGCTAACTAGAAGCTTAAGCTAAGCTAAAGCCAAAGCTAAAGCTAAGCTAAATCTAAGCTAAAGCTAAGCTAAAGCTAAGCTAACGCTAAGCTAACGCTAAGCTGCAGCTAAGCTAAAGCTAAGCCAACGCTAAGCTAAAGCTAAGCTAAAGCTAGCTAAAGCTAAGCTAAAGCTAAGCTAAAGCTAAGCTGAAGCTAAGCTAAAGCTAAGCTAAAGCTAAAGCTAAGCTACAGCTAAAAAAAGCTAAGCTAAAGTTAAGCTACAGCTAAGCTAAAGCTAAGCTAAAGCTAAGCTAAAGCTAAACTAAAGCTAAGCTAAAGCTAAGCTAAAGCTAAAGCTCAAGCTCAAGCTAAAGCTAAAGCTAAAAGCTAAAGCTAACGCTCCCAGGGGACTGGGAGAACCGCGGGGCGGGGACTGGGGGAACCGCCCGGGCGCTGTGCACTGCCCGGCCCCTTTAAGCTAAGAGAGTAAGAACCCTTCTAGGCAGAGCCTAGGTAGGGAACTTGGTGGCTACGAATTTGCGCCAAGCAACTATCAGGAAGGGAGTGCAAGCGCCAAGAACTAAGGGAAAGGACAAATGCGAGGGATGAAAACACCAAGAGCGTGTACCTAAAGTGTCCCCGCAGCGTGGCCGAAATACGGTCCACCGAGGCCGTCGAGCGTCGTGCACGAGGCAGGGCAGCGGAAGCAGAGGTGTACTGCAGCGACATTGATACATCCTGCAGATTCGTGTCGTGACGACACCGCGGGGATCGTTCAACCTTGAACGATCGGCCGTTTCCGAAGCGTCAGATTGTTCAACTTCGACCTGTTTGGGTCGCCGCTGGTCGACACGACGCGAACCCATCGCACTCTGCTCCTCCTCCCTCTCCTCATGAACGCAGCGAACGGCCCTGAGAGGGCGGGGAGCGGCGGAAGGAGAGGCCTCTGGATGCGGGGGGCGCGGAGAGGGGTGGACCACAAGCGACGGGCGGCTCCAGGCAGCGAGAGCAACGAGCAGGGGGGGAGGGATAGGGCAGCACAGCATTGGAGACTCAGATGGCGCGGTGGTGGATATACGCCTTACGCGGATGGCTGGTGTAAGGTGCCATATCGGGCGCGGCCTGGCCGACCCCTACCAAACCATCCCCTTCTGTGGCACCATCCTCGTCTTTCGAGCTCCCCCTTGACCGCATACATACGTCTTGGGGCTAGGCGAGGAGAACGTCACGGGATGGGATGATTTGCAATGGGGTCGGGTAGGCCGCCCCTGACCATAGCTCCCGCAGTGGTCGACACAAGCAAAGGAACGGGGGGGTCGTCGGCACTCAGCGAGGCTCGAAAGCACATGCTGAGACGCCCAACGCAGGCGTCCATCTTTGACACCTTCCGCAGCGAGCCCGCCGCGGGCGCCGAGCTCATTGCCGAAACAGTGTGGATGGGTCGCGGGTGCATCTTCAGGCGGGTCGACGGGGGAATCGTTGTCAGGGTCGCGGGTGGGTCCTGGGTGGGTCCTGAATGGGGCGTGGCTTGGTCGGGGGTCGGTCGGGGTTGGGTTGAGGGCTCGTTGGGTGGTGGGTCGCGGGGCGGGGCGGTGGGTGGGTCGCGAGGCGGGTTGGGGGCGGGTTGCGGAGCGGGTCGCGGGTGCACGCCATGGGGTCTGAAATGTTAGGCGCAACACAAGCACTCCGACTGCGTCAGTGGTGGCGGCGGCTGCTCTTGCAATGTCACGCCACCTGGATACCGTCTACTCGTAAAACCGGCAGGCGGCTTACGTGAGATGGGGAGACCGTCCCAGCATTCGCGCAGGCCTACCACGAAATATGCCAGATTCAAAAATGATTCAACAGCATATGTCAGCGTTCTGAAAACATTAAAACGATGTGTGCACAACAAAGTTAGCCAGCGTGGACCACAACAAATGTGTTTCTAGTACCGTATGGAGTTCAACATGTATTGTGCAATATCGATGCATATCGTTTTCATCGGAGGTTGGGGGGTGAGATCGAAGTGGAACGGAGGGCCCCCCGACCGGGAAATCGATTTCGGTTTCGTGCTCGTGCGTGCCGTGCGTGCGGGCGAGGCGAAGCTGCGTGGGCGGGCGAGAGGAAAGTCTCCTGTGGCTGAGGCGCGGCCGCACCACATGATTCTCCACCGGGGCGCGGGGCCGCGCGGTGTCCCGCCGGTGTCCCGGTGGTGTCCTCTGTGGTTGAGGCGCGGCCGCACCAAATGATTTTCCACCGTGGCGCGGGGCCGCGCGGTGTCCCGCCGGTGTCCCGGTGGTGTCCCGTCGGTGTCCCGTCGGTGTCCCGATGATGATGTTGATGATGATTATGATGATGATGGTGCTGATGATGATGGTGATGATGATGGCGATGATGATGATGATGATGATGATGATGTTGATAATGGTAATGATGACGACGATGATGATGATGATGATGACGACGACGTCGATTGTGAGAACGATTGTGATCGGACGTCGCCAGGAGGACGCCGACAGGACGACGCCGCCGTCGCTGTCGCAACAGTTCTCATCAATTGCATTTGCACCATGTGCAACCCGACAAAGGGAGGGAGAGGAGCCTCAGCAGGCCTCCGAGAAAAAAATCTCCAGTGGCATCGTCAGGGGAACATTCACCACTGTTGCCGATTGCTCGGGCCCTCCACCCCCCCCCAACCTCCTTATCACTCGCAGGGTGGTCGTATCGGAGGTCGGGGGGTGAGATCGAAGTGGAACGGAGGGCCCCCCGACCGGGAAATCGATTTCGGTTTCGTGTTCGTGCGTGCCGTGCGTGCGGGCGAGGCGAAGCTGCGTGGGCGGGCGAGAGGAAAGTCTCCTGTGGCTGAAGCGCGGCCGGACCAAATGATTCTCCACCGGGGCGCGGGGCCACGCGGTGTCCCGCCGGTGTCCCGGTGGTGTCCTCTGTGGCTGAGGCGCGGCCGCACCAAATGATTCTCCACCGGGGCGCGGGGCCGCGCGGTGTCCCGCCGGTGTCCTGGTGGTGTCCCGTCGGTGTCCCGATGATGATGTTGATGATGATTATGATGATGATGAGGAGGATGATGGTGATGATGGTGATGGTGATGATGATGATGATGATGTTGATGATGGCGATGATGATGAGGATGATGATGATGATGTTGATGATGATGATGATGACGACGTCGATTGTGAGATCGGTTGTGATCGGAGGTTGGGGAGTGAGATCGAAGTGGGACGGAATGCCCCCCTACCGGGAAATCGATTTCGGTTTCGTGTTCGTGCGTGCCGTGCGTGCGGGCGAGGCCCCGTGCACCCACCA